CCAAGGTTCTGTGGCTCTGAGGGCTGGCAGGAGCAAGGTAGCAGGATCCAAAGGTCTGCAAGGCACCCTTCCGCACTCGCTCTGCTCCGCTCAGCTGCTCCTCCTCCTCCTCGTCCTGCACCGGGGTGGCGGCGCCGAGCTGAGAGTGAGCGCACAAGTGTGCGCCAGCAGCCGCTTCGCTTTCTCCCCAAACATGGTATATTCTAGATTATATTTTTCCTGCTCTTGTTGCTAAGCTGAGTGGTTAATATTGCTAACTGTTCTCCAAAATACTAACTGTTCTCCAAAATACTTAGAACCACAGCAATTTGGCTTATTTTGGAATACCATGAAGGTCCACTGAACCAAGTTTTAGTATTTGAGCTTCTTTTTCAAGCAGTTATAACCATTTTAGAGATTGCTGCTTCATGACTTTTATTCTTTCCTACAGGTCTTTGAAAGAACAAAAAAAACCCTAATTTTTGTTTAGTAGAATAAAATTTATTTAATCTTACAATTTTCTTATTACATATTAGTGATCTTATGCTATTTCATCATCCTAGATATTGTTTCATCATTATCCATTAATTACAACCAATTATACTAAACAATAAAAGACTCAAATAAGGAAACTGGAGACTGATGGAATCACCTAGAAAGATAACAGTGAAATAACTCATTGTTCTTATTGCACTGCTCAAAATATTGCATCATCTTTTAGGAAGGTTAAAAAAAAAACATGGCAATGCTATTTTTGTAGTCTACCTTTAGGTCTCTGTGCAGAAAAGAGTTAAAATTGAGGTCCTGAGATAGCTAGTTTTGCAAAAACTGCTTACAAGGTTGGGCCTTGGCTGGCTTCTGGGAACTAGGCTGGTAAATAATTTCCTACACTGGTAAAATATTTTCCCTAAATGATAAGTATGGCTCACTGTACCTAAACTGTCTGTACAAACAATATGGTTTATGCTGAACACATACTGCCATGGTCTGAATGTTTATGTCCCTCCAAAATTTGTACATTGAAATTCTAACTCCCAAGGTATAGTATTAGGAGGTCTTTGATAGGTGATGAGGTCGTGAGGGCATGGCCCTCATGAATGGGATTAGTGCCCTTATAAAAGGGGCCTAAGACTCCTTACTCCTTCTGCCATGTGAGATTACAGTGAAAAGCCATCTATGAACCAGGAAGTAAGCCCTCACTGACAACAAACCTGCCAGTGCCTTGATCTTGAACTTCCCAGCCTCCAGAACTGTGAGAAATAAATTTCCATCATTGATAAGCCACCCCGGTTTGTGGTATTTTACTAGAGCAGCCCGAATGGATTAAGATACCTACTTTGCTTCAGAAGTCTGGAATTTTGGTGTGTTCTAGGTAGAGAGTGCCTATGTGACTAACTTGCAATATAAACCTTGGGAGTTGAGTCTTCTACTGGGTTTCCTGGACAGAAACCTCACACAAATGTTCCTGCATTTTTGATGCAAGGGGAAGAAGCACTCTGTGTGAACCCTCATGGGAGAGAGGGAACATAAGGAAGCCAGCACATGGATCCCTCCAGTCTCAGCCTGTGTCTTTGTCCCTTACTATGTCTCTGTAATAAAAATAAATGTTAGCAATGCATACAACTGTATGCTAAATCTGTGTGTCTTTCTAAAGAATCTCCTGACACAGTGTTAACACAGCTGAGAATTTAGAATTTTTCATTTTCTGCCCATAGTGGCAACTGACAGAGGGAGGCATTTCACAATTGTTAGACTAAGCAGAAGAAATAAAAGCAAAGAGACAGATAGTATTCTATTCTCTAACACTGATGGTGAAATTGGTCATATAAGAGAAATCTTAACTGAATCTTCAGGTGACTCTATTATAAATGAATTTTCTCAAATTCTAGAACTGAAGAGTGAGCAATATGAGAGTACTTCAAAAAGTTCAGAGAAAAACTTGTTACCTTCTATTTCTATTTTTTCCATGAACTTTTTGAAGTATCCTTGTATACTCCTATGGACAAAAAAAAAAAAAAAAAAAAAAGGTATTCTCATCTAGTCAGCCATTCAACATGAAAGACTTCCAGACAATATTTTGCAACAAGAACCTGGGCCATTTTGCTCAGGGATATGTGATTATTTTCTTTTTCATCTTTTATATTTGTGATCAAAATTTACTTATTACAAAAAAGTTTGCTATGTTTAAATTCTTATTAAATTTTTTAATGGTGTTTTTCACTCTCTTTATTCTTAGTTCTGTCAATTTTTCCTAAAATGACTAAAAATATACTTTTTAAAGGGTCTACTGGACCCAGATGGCAAATTGTGATGGCTATCTTTCCTGACATACTGAGGGTTAAATAAACATGAATAGATTGAAATTTTATAGATTAACATAGAAATAATTACTAACTTACTGAATCAACAGATATTGAGTAGTTTGTGACAATTCAAATCCAATTCATAAGAATAGCCATTTGCAGAAGTAACCCACTCTAAGTAATTACATGCAAACACTGACTGAGGAGATCTAGAATACCTGGGATCCTTTCACAAGTATCTCCCTACACTGGAGATGTAGTGTGGGAGTGACAGAGTCTGATGACATTGGCATCATGATCATTCAACCAACTCTTGCTCTAAATCCTAGCTCACCAAACAACCTCCTGTTGATAACCTAGTTTCCTGTATAGATTTTCCAACAAAGAAACAATGCTCTCACTAACTGAAAACACTATTTGGTTTAAGAGCAATTAGAGCTCCTATTATGAGTAAGTAAATTGGCTTTCTGGTGGCAAAATGGGATTTCAATTGTTTGTTTTGGGGTTTTTAGGATGGTTGTTTGTATAAGTTTGTTAAACCTGAGTAGGCGGCTCCTCAAACTTTCTCTACCAGCAAATTAGGACACTGCCAAGAAAGGACTAAGATATACAGCATTAGAAAGAATGGCTTATACTCACTCTTTTCTGGAAAAGACCTTTTCTTGTTGATTTTTGCCTATGATCACGACAAAATCCTTTTATAATTTTATTTTTATTCTGGGCACCTGGAATTTGTTCTATCAAGCATTAGGTTTTCAGAAGGCCATAAAAGCATAGACCAGCAAGGGAGTGAGAATCATTCAGTTGGATAATTCTTGACTTCTAAGAGGGTTAGCAAAGCCCATTATTAAACAGTGAAGAAGAAAATAAAATACTTCTATTAAATGATTAAATGTATTCATTTCTTTGAAAATGTCAAGAAGAGATGCACTTAAATGTTATCCTACGTTAAATGTTAAGGGCACTCACCAGTTTACCCCATCTGCTTCCACCCAGGCAAAGCGGTACTCATTGACCCGGAGCATCAGCTGCAGACATCCAGCAACACACTGCACGTACTGAGAACTCTATGCAAGAAGGGCACAGTTTTAAAATTGGAAAGTGTTTAAAGTCATAAAATTATGCACATGCATTTCTATATGAAAAGTTTGTTTTACTAGAGTTTGTTAGCATCAGAGCATCCAAAATTCCAATATTGTTTCAAGAGTTGATTCTCATGTTTGCCCTTATCCCTGCCTCTTAGAAATGAAGATGATTTTGTCTCCCAAATTAAATCTACACAATTCAAGACTACATACATAACACACATAGGAAAATCAGGAACAAAATAATAATATCGTTGATATAGTGTGATAAATATATTACCTTGCAACATTCCACATACCACTGAATAGAGGCCTAAATAGAGAGAATACTGCTCTACATTACTCAAAGAACAATAAAATTAACCTACATATTGCTCTATAATACTGCTCTACATTATTCAAAGAATAAAATTAACCAAGGAAAAAAAGAGTGTATGCTTTGAGACAGACCTATATTTGAACGACTTTGGGCAAGTTACTGAACCTTTCCAATACTCAGTTACTTCATCCTTAATGAGGACAGCACTGCCAACCACCCTAAAGGGGCAGCGCTGCATTAGGTTCAAGAGAAATAATTCATTTAGCACTCATAAACATACTGTAGGAACTCAATAAATGGAAACTTTAAAAAAAAATCTGTATGGTGTGTTAAAAAGTCTAATCAAACACTTAAAAAAGACTGCCTATGATTTTTATTTTTATTTATTTATTTTTTTCCTTTTTATCTTTTTTCATGACCGGCAACGGATCGCAACCCTCAGTGTCGCGCCCGTACCGGACCGGGACCGGCAATGGGATCGCAACCCTCGGTGTTGCACCCGCACCTTGCTCAGCCAGTGAGCCACCAGTCTGTATGTGGGATCCGAACCCTCGGCGGGAGCGCCACTACGCTCCCAAGTGGCGCACTGTAGCAGTGCGCCACCGGGCCGGCCCTGAGACTGCCTATGATTTTTAAAACTGTGAGCTCAATAGCACTGTCCCATAAAAACTGTGCTTAAATCTGAAACTTGAAATAAACAGAAGTAATACCCCCGGGAAGTTCTAAGCCCCTTCATTTTACCAAAGCTAGTAGGGTCACTTGGCCTGGGCTCTCCCTAAATATTTAAAATGAGCTTTTTATCTTTAAGGTGGAGAGAGAAAAGAAATTTCAGGCTCTAGGCTTCAAAAAGAACATGCTAATGAAAAAAATCTGTTCCTAAAAAATGAGGGAATCATGGGCATTATACAAAGGTACTTCAAAAAGTTTATGGAAAGACAGAATTGAAAGGTAATATGAACTCATGATGCTACTAAACTCTGTGCTCTAATTTAAACAACGTTCATAAAATACTAACACTTCAAAGAAACTCCAGGCACTCAAATACAAAAACACAATGATATTAGTACATTTGGTGGAATAGTCAAATGTTATCAAGAAAAGGTCATCTTAGGTTCTACCTAGAAAGCAGTAAACTTAATTATACAAAACACAATATATCCAGTAATATAATTTACCTTAAAACAACAAAAGATTAGCAGAAATTAATGACCAAAAAATAGTATGTTTTCAGCTCTAAAACAATCTTTCATAATAAAAAAATATATATATGCAGTTTTTCAATTAAGTCAGCAATATAAAACTTTTCTGGAGAGGAATTCCATCTTTCTTGTTTAGAGAGATAACCCGAGCAAGGTTTCTAGACATAAAGGAATAAAAAGGCAACCTAAGGCAACACAAAAATTTCACCATGCTATGTTGAAATACATAACATGTTGCAAGTATGGATTCTTCGTTATTTGTAGCTTCAGTATTCACATTACACATGCGCATATAAAAGGTGCTGGTCCTACAGGTGATGGCACTCTCTCCTACTGTACACTATAAGGTAGTTCCCACATCATTCCAGAAAGGACTTTCAAGGTGGCGGAACAGACAGTCCCCAGCATCACTCTCTCCCACAAATCAACCAATTTACAACTATAAAAAAGCAATGACAGCCCAGCTGGAGCCACTAGAGCTCAGGGGAAGAAGAGGAGAGACCTACGGAGTACATGAAAGCAAGAGAAGCCACAATGAGAGAAAGAAAAAACCACTCAGACCTTTTCGAGCCCTGGCCACATCCAGGCCAGAGCTGCTGAGCACATGGAGCAGGAGCCGTCAAAAGCCGCCAGCTGTGCCCTCCGGATGAAGCTGCTCAAAATCCGCCAGTGCCCTCCGGATGAAGTTGCTTGAAGGCAGCAGGAGAGAAGAGGGCCTTGGTGACCCACAGGCCAGCAAGACCACTAACAGGGTTCCTGTGGACTCACATAGGAGCAAGGAGCCACAACAACTGAAGAAAAGGAACCACTCAGAGGTCAATGAGTCATCGCAAGGGACCAGTGCATGGCCAGTCCTATGGGAAGTGTTTGGAGCATGGGCAGTGGGAGAGACAGACCCACAGGGAGAACACTGGGGCACAGCAAGGAGAGCTGATCTACACCCCTATCAAAGGAGACTGCTCAAGAATATAGAATTGCATGGCATGCAGTCTGATGAAAGACTCTGGCCCAAACCAGAGTTTCAAATCTCTTAAGAGCTGGAAGTACCTATAAAGTCAGCCATTAAAACTTGAGCTGCACAAAAAGCCTTCCCTAGAGAATCAGCAGCAAAGCAGCAATTTAGCTCAACTACACAGCTCAAATACTGGTCCCCACAGAAAGTTCCCCCATTTTAGAAGGAAAGGACAACAAATTAGTTCCAGCAGGGGGTTTAAATGGTGAGAACAACAAATAACCCAACACAGAACTGAAAAAAAAAAAAGTACCCACAACCAGAGATAAATTTTCATATTAACTTGTAAAGGTCTCATTTCACCAAAGGACACCTATAATACATAGAGGGACCAGAAGTCCCCTGGGATAACAAGCCCGAAAGTGGGGAGGGCCAGGGGCCTCAGCAATGTCCCCCGACACCCACAACCAATCCCGAGGGTGGGAGATGAGGGCCTTGGCCACGACAAGTGCAGCCAGCCCAGCAGCAACCACCGAGCTTCTGCAGGATGCGCCATGGGCTCTTCCGGCCAGGGCAGTGGGGACCTCAGGCCTTGGCCATGACCCCTTCCGCACACACACCCAGCCCAGTGGCAATCACTGAGCCGCCACAGGAAGTACCCAAGGCTCTCCTGAGCCAGGGTGGTGAGAGACCTCGGGCCTCAGCCACGGTCCCCCGACACCTGCAGCCAGACCAGTGGTGACCACTGAGCCATCGCAGGAAGCCTCCCAGGCTCTCCCAAGCCAGGGCAGTGGGGGTGCCGAGGGCCTCAGCCACACCCCCTGACACCCATAGCCAGCCCAGCGGCGACCACTGAGCCACCACAGGAAGCATCCCAGGCTCTCCTGAGCCAGGGCAGTGGGGGCACTGAGGGCCTCAGACATGCCCCCCGACACCTGCAGCCAGCCCAGCAGCGACTACCGAGCCACTGCAGAAAGCACCCCAGTCTCTCCTGACCCAGGGCAATGGGGGGGCCAAGGGACTCGGCCACATACCCTCAAAGCATGCAACCAGCCTGGGGAAAACCACCAAGCCGCTACAGGAAGCATCCCGGGCCCTCCCAAGCAGGGGTGGTGGGGGGGCCTCAGGCTTCGGCCACACTCCCCCAACATATGCAACCAACCCAGTGATAACTACCAAGCCACAGCAAGAAGGGCCCCAAGTTCCCAAGCTGGGACAGTGGGGGCCAAGGGCTTTTCCACCCCCCCCCGACATCTGCACCCAGCCCAGCAATGACCAAGCCACCGCTGGAAGCCCTCCAAGTCTCCCGTATGGGAATGAGGGGGGTGCCACAGGCCTCAATCCTGCCCCTCCTCCTCTCTCCTTCCTCCATCCCATTTCCTTCCCCTTTCCCCTCTCCCTCTCCCTCCCAACTGCTCCACAACATCCTAGAATGTAAAAAATAATAATAATAAAATTTCATTTTCTTTAAAAAAAAATAATAATGCAAAAAAAGTAGATTGCATCACTTCCTTGACTTTCACTTAAATCATCTTTGTTGGTGTCCTGAATAAAATTACTCAATGATTTTTTTTTTAAAGAAAATAATCAACCTTGGATCAATCCAACCAGTCACCATCTCTAATCCTACAAAAGGGCAACTTAACACTGTTGGAGAAAATTACACAACCATGCAAAGCCATAGCATCCTGGTCCACCCTCTCTGCTATTCCCCAGAGTTGCTCTCATACCTTCAGTGCTCTCCTACTGTTCTGCTTCCTCCCACGTTCTCAACAGGAAGGAAAAAATGCACCCACAGAAGTTTCTCTTACCTCTCAACAGGATCACCTAGCCTTCTTCCTGTCCAAGAGCCACAGCCCCAGCAGGGTCTGCACACCCTTCCTCTCTATATTGCTCCATCCCTCAGAGCCCTTCCATATAGGTTTGCCCTTTCATCCTCTACAGGACAGCCTTAACAAATGGAGGCCACAGCTGAGACCCCTTATTGTACACTCTCAAAGGAACCTGTGCTTCTCCCTTATAGGTAGTGCCACAAATCTACTGAAATAATCAGCTGTGTAATTACTTGTTTAATGATGTCCTCCCCAGATACAATGTAGCCAGCCCTCTGAAGGCAGGAATCATGCCCATCTTGTTCAGTTCGACATTTTCAGCACCTTACATTGTACCTAGGAGGCACTCAAATATTTCATGAATGCATGAATAAACAAAAGAAGTGCAAATAAACTCTGTATCTTACACTAATTCTAAATCAACAGTGCCCTAATAGATATGGTTCAATGGTCTAAAAGTCTAAGACTTTATGAGAATTTCTATACTGGTAATAATCAATACTGCAGAAATATATACAATATAGCACTACTACTCTATTTCTTTTTGGAACCAAGACTGAATCTAACTGACTCTTAAAATTATTTCCTAAAGCAATTACGGACCTCATAAAACTGCCTAATTTTTTTTTTGAGTCATCTCAGTTTGAGAAATAATATAAATTGTTAATCAATTCTGGGCT